TTGGGTCCAGTAATCCAACCAGTTTCAAGTCCACGTATGTGCTAAATACTATTACCTACCACACATTTCTCGACAAAAATAGTATAAGAGATACTGTCAAATGATTTTCTAAAATATAGGTGTACTATATTTCTCTCTCATGCTCCCTCTGTATATATAGTTAGATAATGAGAGAGAGAGAGAGAGAGAGAGAGAGAGAGAGAGAGGAAGGAAGGAAGGAAGGAAGGAAGGAAGGAAGAAAGGGCAAGCATTCCCCCCATCCATCAGCCCTGTAACCTTATCCAAAAAGAATACCAAATTAAATATGGCAAGCCCTGTTCTTGATAAAAGTACAGTGGTTCTTAGTGAATTTTAGTTTTTTAAAGATTACTTCCAGCAGTTTAGCAATCAAATCCATGATTTTTTTTTAACCATGCAAGGACATGCTTGTCCAAACCTGGTGACTTGAACTCAATGAGGGCAGCTGAGAACTGGCTCTTTTCGTCCTCACTTACCCTGGGTTACAGTCCCTTTGGTTAACCATTTCTGTTCAAATGAATTCACCAATTCCACCATATTAACCACTATTTCCTAGTAAAAATCCCATCCTATTCATGCATTCTATTTTTCCTACATAGACCATAATTATTCCTTTCTCCACGCATTTGAACACATTTTTCCTAATATTTGGAGTATCCCTGCTCCTCCACTCTTTTGTGACTTCCTATGTACTATATCCTATGATTGTTTTTTTCTCAATTCCTTTGGATTTATGGTCTGCACTATAGTCTAATAATAACACTAATATTCTTTAGCATTTATATAATACCTTAAGATTTGCAAGGCACTTTACATATATTATCTCATTTGAGCTTCACAATAATGCTGTGAGGAAGGTGCTAGTTATGGACTATGGTGCATAGATTTTAATTTTTTTCATAGATAAATTTTCATTTTCTTTTATTATATAATGACTGAAAATGGACTATAAACTTCTAGAGGGCAGGGACTATTTCTTATGCTTGTGTGTCTCTCCTAGTAGTAACAATCATTATGATAATGATAGTAATAATACTAATAGTAGCTAGCATTTATGTAGTGCTTTAAGGTTTGCAAAACTTATACATGTTATCTCATTTTCTCATTTGTGCACAGTATCTAGAACCCAGGGCATCCAGAAAATACTCTATAGTACTTTTTGATTTCTAACTGTCTACTATGAATACCTACACTGTACAACACAGAAATATAAGTAGCTGTAAAACACCTATTCAGTTCATATTCTATAAATTCAGTCCTAATTTTTCTCCCAAGCTTCAGTCTTGCACCATCACCTGCCTTTTGGACACTTTCAGTTCAATATCTCATATACACCTCAAACTTGACACATTTAAAACAATTCATTATTTCTTCCTCCTAGTTGTATTCCCGGCTTCCAGACTTATGAACCAAAATTCTACTGTGCACTTGCTATCTCATCCTGGAATTTCCCTCAGCACCTAGGACCTCACAGCCCTGAAAAATTCTGCTGCTTTCTCAACACAAACAATCCCTCTGTAAGGCCCATCCCCTTTTCCCACTAGTGAGTTTCTCTTAGGAATTCCATTTTATGGAAGGACCCAGGCTGGTCTACATTCCCCTCTCAGCAATGTTCCTGGCTTCCAGAATTAAAAATCAAGACCCTAGACAGGTAGTATATCACCACCACCTCCTTTTCAGTGCTGTCTTCTTCCATTAGAATGTAAGCTCTTTAAGAGCAAGGAATGTTTTTGTATTTGTATGCCTGGAACTTAGCAGAGTGACATATAGTAAGTGTTTAATAAATGCTTGTTTCCTTCCTTCTTTCCTTTTCCCTTCCTCCCAACCCACTACTCTTCTAAACTTTCTTTTTTCTAATGAGGACACCATCATTTTATCACACATTAACAAACCTGGAGTCATCTGTCTCAAATAGCCCTCACCACCACTTCCACTGAATTAGCTACGGCGCCATAGTTCAGGCTCTCATTGCCCAGATGACTGAAATACTATCAAACTTGTCTCCCAGTCTCATCTCTCTCCCCTAATCCACCCTCTACATAGTGATTTTCTCAAAGTGCAAGTCTGATTACATCATTCTACTCCTCAAAAAACTCTCATGATTCCTTATTACTTCTAGAATCAAATACAAAGTCTTTGATTAGGTTTTTAAAATTCTTCGTAAATTGGCTTCAACCTACCTTTCCAGTATTATTATATATTATTCTCCTGCATGAACTCTTTGGCTAGCCAAACTGACCTTCTTGCTGTTCCGCACACAATCCTCCATCTTCTATTTCTATACCTAGTATGCTTCAAACACACTCCTTCCTCATCTCTACCTCTTGGAATCCCTAGTTTCCTTCAAATCTCAACTCAAAAGGCATTTTCTACTTTAAGTAAGCCTTTTCTAATTCCCTTAATTGGCAATACCTACCTCCCTTCCCTTTATCTTACATTTATTTTCATATACATATACACGTAAATACGTAAGTATCTGAAAGAAATGTAAGATCCTTGAAGGCAAAGACTGTTTGCTTCTTGTATCACTGTGCCTAAAACATTAATAAATGCTTACTAGACTGAAACAAGAACTGAAAAGACTGTAGAAATCATGCAGTTCCACTCTCTTGTTCTTCAGATGAACATTCCAGAACATATTGATGTGTACAGCACTCCACATTTAAAAAAAATTAAAGATGGAAATAATGAATATGAGAAGAATACTGAGAATAAGTACCCTATCAAGGCTTTTCTCTATTAACTAAGATCTGTGGAAAAGTTATTGTCTCAAAGTTATACAGCAGTAAGTAAAGAATAATACATCTTATTTATCCTTATGGTGTGAGGCTGTTACCCAAAGTATTATCAAATTGATGTTATTGATGATATTGACACTAATTTGGGATGTAAAAAACTCCTGACAATCTCATGCTCTGTCATTATTTCAAGAACCCTGGATTGGCTGAAGAAATATGCATATTCTTCTCCCTCTCCTGTTGACTGATCTTTTAAGGCAAAAAGCTTATAGACTACACCTGCAAACTGAAGGTATTAAATATCTTAGGTCCATTCCAGTCCTAAAATTTTTTAATTCGATGAACACTCAATGATCTAGTACACTGAGTACTCAACATTTCTCTGCCATGATGAAATAACAGGGAAAAATTTATACAGGTTTACATCACACCAGGTAAGTATAGGCTGATATAAAGTCTGTCACGAGTTACTATATAAGTACCACTGAGGTATCTGAATGCAATAGTCCATATAGAAGTTACAATACTACACGAATAAGAGTTGTTATTTTCAATTCAGAAGCCTACAATCTAGAGCAAATATGAAATGTGAAGTACAAAAAGGAACAATTGATGAATGAAATAAAATTAAAGCAGGGATGAAAGTAAAACGTATATGGTAGAGATGTTTGGGATGAGGTACCACAAAGTGAAAAAGAGGTGAAATGAATAGAGAAAATAGTGAAGACAAAAAAAAAATACCATGATGAAAGTCTCAGAAATGAGTAGAATGTGAAAAAAAACTATTCCAGTGTTAATTTTCTCTCCCCAGTTGCATCATAAGGTGAAGGGCAGAAAAGAAAGTACAGCAAGTCAGGGCTTCTTCTTCTAGGCTGTCTCAACGAGACAGCAATTCCTTAGCTAATGCTGAAGAAGTCCTAAGGGTCACACAGCTGAGTCAAACCACCACAAGGCCCTTTCCTACCATGGCAAAGACTTCTATCCTATCCTCAAAATGCATACTGTATTTCTGTGATTTTTTCCTCCAAATATGCCTCTGAAGTTCATATTAACCTAATTTTACCTATATAAAAATTTTAGGGGAGAAAGAATTCACAGGATCATAGATTTAGAATTGGGAGAAATCTTTCATCAAGTTCAACACATTCACTTTCCACACATGGCAACTAGCTTACCCAAGGCTGGACAGTATTAGGTGGCAGAGATAGCATTTGAACTCCAGTACTCTAACTTCAGGTACAGACCTCTTTCCACTGTTACTATGCTGTATCCAAAATCACTTTGCTTTGGCTTTATCTGGTATTTCACACTCATGGACAGCTGGCTACACACATTGACCTCAAGCAAAAAATACTTCTGGAACACCTACTATGAGCTTTCTAAAATACTTTTATATACATATATGTGTATATACGAATAAGTTTTAAATATAGAGACAGTTGGATAGATGGCTAGCTTGGAATCAGGAAGATGCTAAGACTCTTACTATCTGTGACCTTGATCAAGTCACTTAAACTTTGCCTCAGTATTTTCCACTGTAAAATGGGAATAATAGTGCCTATCTTCCACGGTTGTTGTAGGATCAAATGAAATATTTACAGAGAACCTTAATAAATGCTTGTTTCTGTCCTAAACTGAATAAACTGCCCATTTACTAGCCTTAATGGTAGTGCTTTCCCTCTTAAATTATCTCCCAATTATCCTGTATCTATCTTGTTTGTATATAGCTCTTTGCAAACACTATAATGTCTCCTCTATTAGAATGTAAGCTCCTCAACCGCAAGGAACATATTTTTGCCGGGGAGTTTTGTTTTGTTTCTAAATCCCCAGCCTATAACAACATTTAATAAATGCTTGACTAACTGGCCAGGAGGGTAGCAAAAATTATAGTACGTGTGACAAGTCTAGGAGTGGAAACAGCTAGCATTTATATTGCTTTAAGGTGTGCAAATATTATCTTATCTTGACAGCAACCTGTGAGATAGGTACTATTATCATCCCCAATTTACAGTTGAGGAAACTGAGGTAGAGATTAAGTGACTTGTCCAGGGTCACAGAGCTACCAAATGCCTGGGGCTGGATTTGAACTTAGGTCCTCCTGACTACAAATCCAGCACACTCTCCACTGCGCAACAGGCCACAGGAACACGCCGCCCCTCCCCCCCACTTCCTTCATTCTCCCCGAGAACAACGAGACGCTCCTCCCCCATCTCCCCTACTCAGCCCTTAATAACCCCTTCCAACCTGGGCGGCAGCAGAGGCGGACGATACCTGTCCACCATGCCGAACTCACACCCACACCTGGCCGGGGTCGCACTGAAGCTCAGGCTCCCGCCACGGGTTTGGGAGCGCGGGCCCGCCCCTTAGCGGACGTGACGTCAAAGAGGCGCGGCGAAAAGAAAGGCGGGGGCTGGGGGGGAAGACAACCCCAATGCCGTTTCTGAGAATGTCTCCTGAGACAACTTTCCTTCCTTCCGCCTCACGAATCTGGGGGTTGAGAAAGGCTGGAAAGGAAAAGTCCGCGGTACACCCTAACCACACCTGAGAAAGAGCAGGGTGTGGGAGGGTTACTGGCTTCCCGCCCCCATGCCTTCTCCCTTCCCATTGGCCAGGGTCGCAAGCCCCTCCTGGAAACTGCAGTTCCCATGATGCTCAGCCGAAGGTAAAGGAAGACTAGTGGACAAAAATATTGCTGGCTATGATGGGAACTGTAGTTTCCCGCTAAGAGGTGTGCGGGGAAAGGTGGGGGAAACCATCGCCTTTAGCTACTGAAGCCAGTTGTTCAAAGATCGGAGGACAGACGCTCCTAGTAAGCTCCCTCTTAGAGCTCAAAGACGTTTCCTCATCTCTAACCGTAATAATCACACGAGCGAAAGACCGTCTTTTCAGACTCTCGGGAATGATTTCTCACCCTAGCCCCGCCACAGTCCCGAGCCTCAGGGTCCCACTCGTGGGAAAAGGTGGCCTCGTTACAGGAGAAGGAAAAGCCTTATCACCCAGAGCGACCCAGGGATTGGCCAATGACCGCGTCCCTCAAGCGGAGATTCCTGAAGCCGATTGGTTCTTTTTTTTCTCCGGGACTGAAGTGGGGTTGGCACTTAGCTCGACTGCGGCCCGGGAGGGGCTCAGCAGGGTGGGGGGGAAGGGAATAGAAAGGGGCGGGTTCGGAGAATTGATTGGTGGAGGTTGGTGTCTTTCCTCAGCTCGCCGACCAGCAATTGGCCAGCTTCCCCCTGGAGGAGGTGGACGGAGGCTAGTGCGTGGTGGTGGTGGGCGGGTCTTCTTTAGCAGCGGTAGCCGCTGGAGCCGGTGTCTGGGGCTGGTGATGGGGTTAATTCTCTCCCGTGTGACTCCCAGTCGCGCCCATCCAACCCCGCTGTCTCCCTGCTGCGCCGCGCTCCGACCGCCTCCTCCTCCTCCTCCTCCTCCTCCTCAGTAACTCGGGTAAGAGACATTTCCACCACCACCCACCCCCCGCCACTTCCATCCCCCACTTCAGCTCCCCGGTATACCGCTCCTCCCTACCCCGCCCGCCAACCGGTCGCTCTAACGGAGAAGGTGCTTGGTTGAGGAGGAGATGGGGGGAGGGGGTATGTCGATGTGGGGGGGATGGCCTTCCCAGCTGAGCCGACCGAGGTCCCGGGGACCGGCCTGCGCCCCTGGCCCCCGACCGGCGGGGTTCGAAAGACGCGCGGCCCCCCCCCCCTCCGCCGCCCCGGCCGCCGAGCCTTGGGCCGCCCTCAGCCCTCCACCCCTCCCCCCGCCCCGGCCCGGGGCCATGTGAAGACCGAGTCCCCACAGGCCTAGTGGAGGAAGCACGGGGGGAGCTCCGTCTGTGGTGCCCGTGTCCCTGCCATGGCGGCGGCGGCTGCAGCTGCTGTAGCTGCTGCTGCTGCTGCTGCGTCCCCGAGGACTCGTAGAACAGAAACAGCAGGCCCGAGAGACGCCAAGCTCTCTGTGGGGGGCCCGTGCCTGTACACCCCGACTCCCGGGGCCCGGGCAGCAGCGGCCTCACGGGGCGAGGGGAAGCTTTTTGTTTGTTTCGAAAAAAAAAATAATTTTCTTTTTGCGTTTAGAGCGAATGGTGAGCCCTTGTCACACTACTTTGAAGGGAGAATGTTGAACGTTACCACATACACACACACACTCTCACACTCTCACTCTCTCATACACACACACACACACACACTCTCACACACTCTCTCTCACTCCCTCCCTTTTTTAAGGGGGCAGTGGGACTAGTAGCGAAATCTTTTCCCTTCGTCTTTCTGTCCTAAAGAAGCACTAGGGCAGGTTGGGTATATGTAAGAGCAAGTTGAGCGACGCTGTCAGTGTCAAATACCCCGGGCAAGGGCTTTTCTCCTTCTGGTGACAGTGTGTTTGAAGGAAGTGGTCAAAAAAATTAGCAGTGGGGTGTTTGGGGTTGGTTTATTTTTTCCCCCCTAAAATTCTCTCTGGTCCTTTGACTCAAAGGTGGTATTCTGTCTGAAACCATCTGAGTACAACTACATTAATTTGCCTTTTCTGTAATTGGCTTGTCTGAAAAGGTGCTTCTCAATGTAAGTTTAGAGCTTTTGGTCAATAGCCATTTAAAAAGAATTTTTTAGGAAAATGAAACTTATAAAAATTGGCAAATACTGTCAAACTAAAAGCTCACATGAAGTTATGTTGGATGGAGTGAAAGTGCAGTATAAAAAAAGATTGTATATTCTTCCAAATGTAGGGGAGAGTAGTTTGTATAATCGAATTTTACCTTCTCTTATTGTTATAATAGAATCTTATCGTTTGTGTGGTTGTATTTTTAAATTGTTGTCGACGATAGCAAATATTAAGCACCTATTCTACTAAAGGCTTGTTGCATTTTGACTAATTCCTTTAGTCCCCAGACTGGGGATTGGATGAAGTAGCATTTTCCTTTGGCATGTGGTAGCTATCCTTAGCACCACAGAGGTGGTCTTTGGTGGTCTGTTTTAATTCCAGGTCCCTGTCCTAAGCTTCCTTGCTACTAGATTTTTAACACCACCAACTCTTTCTGTAGGAACAACTTGGTTAAGAAAAAAGCTAGTGGATACTCAGTATGCATCAGTGTATGGTTTTTTTGATTAGTTAATCTTTTGATACTTTTAACTACCAATTGCCTTAATTGTGGGGGGGGAAGTTAATAAACATGTGCTGGGCTCATCCTACACACTAAGTACATTTACACCCATATAGCGTTTATACTATCAGAACTGTAACTGGCAGTTTTACTTATAGTGTGACCGTTGAAAAGAAAGTACAATTTGACTCACAACTTGGTCATTTTTAAAAAGAAAAGTTACATGGGAAATAGATCAGATATGAATTTATTTTAGAGAAGATTGAACATAACTAATTTGATCTTAGAAAATGCTTTTTGGTACTAATGCTTACTTCTTTTTGGCCACTGAATAACAGTATCAAAATCAAAGTCATTCTTTCATTATATTAAATTCCACCTTAAGTTCAACCTTAAGAATAAAATGATAACCAAATATTCCTAACATCAAGGAACACAGCATTGGAAGGGATTATTTAGTCAAACTGCCTCACTTTATAGATATGTGATCATAAAAGGTGACATCTCTATAACATTTTAAGAGTTGTAAAACATTTTACAAATATTATCTCGTTTGATCCTTAGAACAACCCTGTACTGTAGGTGCTATCATCCACATTTTTTAGTTAAGGAAACTGAGGCACCCAGTGTCACACAGTTAAGTTTCTGAGGCAGTACTCAAACCCAGGTTTTCCTCACTCCAAATCCAATAATCTCTCCACTCCAACACAAAACTAAAATTTTAAGAAATGACTTGGTCAAAGTCCTACAGGTAATAAGATTCAAACCCCTTCCCTTTGCCTTCAAATACAGTGCTTTACCAGGATGCTCATTCCACAAATACAGATTGTTTCAGAAGTCTTAGTGCACTTGTAATCTATTAAATCTTAATGTGCAAGGCATTTTCTGAATGACTTTGAGGCTTACAAAGATCTTAGGTCATTTCTGCCCTTCAAGGGCTTTTATTCTAAGAGCCATTTATATATGGAATAACAATAATAGAAGACATAGTGGGCTGTGATAACTTTACTACAGTAATATTCTCTTAATTCCTGTTTAGGTTAAAGGTTGTATCTATTGATTTCAACAGTCATACTCTAACAATTTTATATTCATGTCCAGTACTTCATGTTACAGACAAAGTAGGAAGGTGAGTCACTAATTTAGGTGAATCTAAATATATATTCAAAACAATTTATTTCAGAAGCATAAACAAAATATTGCCAACTTTGCAGAAATTGAGTATTGCATTTTTTAGGTATAGTTCTAATATGTCATGCCTATAGGTCATTTATTATTATTGTTAAAAGCCATCATTATCAAATGTTTAAGAAAACATGAAAAATATACCAAAGTTGTAGCTTTTTTTCTCCAGATATTCTGAACAATCAATTTTTAACCTTTACTGAAGCCTTATTATAAAGGTATCATTAGGATAACTGCCCGCTGAACTATGGGAGCTGTGAAAGTCTTCTAATGAGTCCTTTTTGGTACTCAGAGTAATTCCTTTGGACAGTGTCTGGATCCTGTGCTGTAGCAGGTGGTAGTCTCTTTCGTGTCTAGTCCTGTCCCCCCCCACCTTGTAGTTGAATGGTCTATTAGACAGGGTTTTTAATATGATGATAACAGTTCAGAATACCTATTAGTACTGAAATAAACTTTCATAATTTTTGGAGGGGAAAGAGGAAAGTGTTTCCTTTACTAGCACTTGTGAATACCCTCTTTGGTAAATGTTGAGCTCAGGTCCTTTAGTATTACTGTAATAGTTAACAGTCTTTGCCAAGTAATAATATTATGAATACTTACATATTAAAAGCCTTTTAAAATGTTGACTTTTTTATGGGGTCATTAAAATAACAGTAATCACTATTAGTCAACTCTTTCAAGAGAAGCTTCTAGGCAGATTTTTTATCTTTGTTGCAAATAGTTCTGGGTATTGCAAGGAATTACAAATCATAGAACAATATACCCCATCTTTAGAATGACACCTGTACGTGTGAATAACTGTTAAGTTGTTTCATAAGGAAAGATTCGTGTCCATTCTTTGGTAACAACATCTAAGACTTATGTATAGTTAAGTGATGTCACCTTAAAATTTAGCCAGTAGTAGAGATGTAATATTTCAATCTGTAGGCTGGTTATGGTTGTACTTATTGCTATGCTTGACTTGTGTATAAAGAATGGTTACTGTACTACTGAGTCCCAGTTTACCAAAGAATGGACACGAATCTTTCCTAATGAAACAACTTAACAGTTATTTACATGTACAGGTGTCATTCTAAAAATGGGGTATATTGTTCTATGATTTGTAATTCCTTGCAATACCCAGAACTGTTTGCAACAAAGATAAAAAATCTGCCTAGAAGCTTTGGTAAATTGCCTTTTAAAATAAACACTTAATTCTAGTGAATTCTAACTTTTTAAAAAATATGTTCAAATAACCTGTGTAATTAAGTCAGTAGATTATTGTCAGATTGTATTTTTTATGGAAGTGAATTTTACCTATCCCTGGTAAATCATTTTTTTTTTAACAAAAGTAATTAAATTAGAAAATTGGCTCAGAGAATTGAGCAAAGTGGTTAATTATTTAATTCTGTTTCAAAGTCATTTCTTCCTCTCCTATTCCAAAAGCCTGTTCCCTCCATCCTATGTTTTGTCCCTTAGTGTTCTGGCTCTTTCCCCTTGCAAGTCAGTCTTATTTTTGCCATCCACTAATTTTCCATCATCTTCCTTCCTGCCAGTTTCTAACACATTTTTATCTCTCATTTGGTTTCCTCTCTGTACCTCCTGTAGCCTTTAAATTTATAGCTCTTGTCTTTTTCTTGAGCTTCTTTTTATTTTTTAACACTACTTGTTCAGAAAAAGTGAACTTGTTAGGTTTGTTCCTTTTTCGTGAGGACAGTTAGACAAGTTGCAATGATTTTGCTGTAGCTTTGACTAAACATTGTTTCTATACATAACTATCCCCATAACCAAGAAAAATTACAGCTGTTTATATTCTTTATCCTTACCTTTCCTTGAACACTAGCAATTTGAAATAACAACATCTAAGACTTATGTATAGTTAAGTGATGTCACCTTAAAATTTAGCCAGTAGTAGAGATGTAGTATTTCAATCTGTAGGCTGGTTATGGTTGTACTTATTGCTATGCTTGACTTGTGTTTAAAGAATGGTTACTGTACTACTGAGTCCCAGTTTATTTTTAGATAAATTCAAATTTATTTTATTTTACTGCCTGGGCTGATATGTCTCCTCCCATCCATAGCCCTCCAGATTTCATACATGCCAGGTCACAACCCTTCCTCCCTTTTTCATTTTGAAAAGAATGGTTGAATAGGATAAGTGTCCTCATGTGTTCTAACCCTT